ACAGACTATAAGGGACAGAAAGAGGGCTGCTATGGTAGCTACTGGTCATTGCTCATTTGTCACTTGCTGCTTATGCTGCCTCTGCCTGCCATGAACTGTTTCTCCTCTGTGATGCCACTCTCTCTGCCTTGGAGTCAATTAATTATGGAATGAACCTCTACAAACTGTGAGCTACAATAAACCTTTCCTCCTCTAACTTTGGGTGTTGGGTATTTTGTCTCAGCAAAAAGAAAAGTAACTAAGATACCCACTGGGGTAAAAGCCCATTAAGCAATAGAAGGGATGCAGGGTGGACAGGTGAGAGCTTTCCATAGCTGATCTCTGGTACAAAGAAGCTGGCCTATCCATGCCAGGGAGGGCACCAGCAGGTACTCTACAAGCCCTACATTGGCATTTCCCACAATTCACTCTAGTTTCCATTTCCTCTATCCCCCTCCCTGCTTGCCATCTCCAATTCTATCACCAACTGTTGAACTAAGCTTTGCTCACTTTGTTCAGCATCTCCAGAGCTCTCATTCCTTTTCTACTTTTTTTAGAATCTAAGCATAAACTCTGCTTGCTCCTGCTCCTCACGCACCCTGGGCTTAGAGGAGCTGAAACGGATAAGCACCTTGTAAGACGGCCCCTCCAATTTGCTCCCATATTATCTAATTATACAAGTACATCCACTATCTGTCTCTACACTCCTCAGGACAGGTTATGCCCCAATAAAAATTGTAGGGCTGATTCTTGGTAGCTATGGCAGGTCCCAATTGGGATCCTTGCTGGAAATATTAATTCTTTATGAAGCCCAGGATAATAGTTTCATTACATAAGATAGGAGATTCCAGAATCCTCCCCCACATCTTTGTTACTGAACCTAGTACTTGATTCCTTTACCCTGAGCTAATCTCTCTACCTACTGCTAATTCTCTGATCAGACTGCAGATTACCACTATCTACACTTTAAATATTAATTTCACTGGTAAAATTTAGATATGCATAATGATCACATTCATCATAGATCACATTCATCACAGGGAATTTGTACCTGTACATGGTATATCTTTTGTTGTTATTTTTTTTTTTTTGGTGCTGGGGATCGAACTAAGATCCTTCCGCTTGCGCAGCAGGCGGCAAAACCCCTGAGCTAAATCCCCGGCCGTACATGATATATCTTGATTCCTCTTTTTTCCCCAATCCCCTCTCATCCCTTCAACCCCCTTCCCCTCCTTATTTACAATATCTTTGTTTCTGGTTTTCCTTCTTTTCTCATTGTTTTCTTTTCTCTTCCTTCCTCCCCCTGTACCTTCTTCTTTTGAACAAATTATTTCACAATATCTATTATACATTTTGTTCCTCATTTATACTTTCAATTTCTCACATAAGAGACACAATGTGATAGTTACACCTGTCCAATTTATTTCTCTTAAGAGTATAGTCTCAAGGTGCATACATTTAGCTATAAATGTCTCAAGTTTATCCTTCTTTATGGCTGAGTAGTATTCCATTATATAAAAAACACATCCTTTTTATCCATTCATGGGTCGATGGACATTTGAGCTGCTTCCAAGATTTAGCTATTAAAAATTGTGCCACTATAAACATGAGTGTGCATATATAACTGTGGTATGAAGCTTTTAGTTCTTTCAGGAACATATCCAGAAGGGGAATAGCTGGGGCAAATGGAACCTCTAATCCTAGTTTTTTGAGGAATCTTCACACTGATTTTCACAGTGGTTGCACCAGTGTGCAGTCCTACCAATGGATTCCCTTTTCCCCCCAGCCCTACCAGTACTTGTTGTTGGTTGATATCTTGATAGCAGCCATTCTTTCTGGAGTGAGATGAAATCTCAGCATTGTTTTAATTTGCATTTCTTGAATGACCAGTGATTTGGAACATTTTTTCATATATTTATTTGCTGTTTCTATTTCTTCATCTGAGAAGTATCTATTCAATTCAGATGCCCATTTTTTATTGGGTCTTTAAATTTGGGGGTTTTGAATTTTTTCAATTCTTTGTATGTTCTAGATATTAATCGTCTGCTAGAGAAGCAACTGGCTACAAGTTTTTTCCAACTCTATGAGTTGTCTTTTCACTCTTGGTGATTTCTTTTGCTGTGTGAAAGTTTTTTAATAGGATAAGATTTCACTTGTTGATTCTTTGTATTATTTCCCATGCAATTAGGGTTTTGTTCATGAAGTCTTTGCCTACACCTGTGTCCTCAAAAGTTCTACTTATTATCTCTTTCAGCAGATTTAGTGTTTCTGTCTTACTATTTAGATCTTGGAACAATTTTGATTTTAGTTTAGTGCATTGTGAGAGACATGGGTCTAGTTTTAGTCATCAGAATGTAGAAAGCCAGTTTTTCCAGCAACAGTTATTAAAAAGGCTATCTTTCTTCTAGCTGGCCTGGTTGGACTCTTTGTTAAAGATAAGGTGGCTGAGTGTGTTTGGGGTTGTTTCTGTGTCTTCTAAACTGTTTCACTGAGCCTCAGGTCTGTTTTTTGCTAGTACCATGCTGTTTTTATCACAGTAGCTTTGTAATATAATTTCAAGACAGGGATTGTGATGCCTCCTGCCTTGCCCATGTTGCCAAGAATTGTTTCTGCTATTCTATGTCTCTTCTGGTTCCAAATGAATTTTAGAAATGTTTTTTTCTAGTTCCTTGAGGTATGCTATTGGTATTTTTATTAGGACTGCATTAAATCTGTAAAACAATTTTGGGAGTATGGCCATTTTTTTTTACTATGTTGGTTCTTCCTACCCAAGAGCAAAGGATATCTTTTTCTTTGGTACCAGGGATCGAACTCAGGTCCTTGCACTTGCGAGGCAGGTGGCGGAACCACTGAGCTAAATCCCCAGCCCGAGCAAAGGGTATCTTTAGGATTGTTTTCTCTAGTTCTTTGTGGGTGTGGTAATGGTGTTTTGATTGAGATTCCATTAAAAAAATAAAATACTTAGGGATCAATTTAAAAAAGGAAGTAAAGGATCTTTACATTGAAAACCACAGTAATCTGGAAAAGGAGATCAAAGAGGATATCAGAAAGTGGAAAGATATCCCCTGCTCTTGGGTAGGAAGAACCAACATAATGAAAATGGTCATACTCCCAAAATTGTTATACAGATTCAATACACTCTGTCTCATATCATCTGGGGCATATCATCATAGCTCCATCTATCTGCTTCTATCAGATAGAGTAGTTTTCATCCTCTCATGGTACAGACCATGAGAGCAACCAAAAGGCTGTTTTAAGAAAACCCTTAAAAGCATGAGCAAAGGGAGAGACAAATGACCTGACATTGAGGAGGAGGAGGAATGTGATGTTGGTCTTCCATCCCTCTAATGTATTGAGTAAGCTCCTACTTAACTTTCACTTCTCCTTCAAAACACTCCCCATTTATAGCTTTGGTAGAAAGGAGAGCCAACTGGAAGCCCAGACTTCTAAAACTCTGAGTCTCCCTCTCATCACCTCCTTGTAATTCTGGCTGCCAAGGCCTTGGATTTGACCTTCTTGCCCAGGGCATTAGATTGCAGAGAAGGGACTTCGTGCTCATGGTAATAAGTCTTAGACATTTCTTTCCTCTCTTGGGAACTCCAGGATCCCAAACAGCCAAGCTTGCTGTCAATATTAATGCATTCTCAAAGTAAGTTACATAAATCCCCACAAGTTCAGAGGATTTCTAAGGACCCAGGCCATTCTTCTTCCTCCAAACCCTCATCTCTCAGCCTAAGCAAGCCCAGTCTTGTAAATGGCGAGGTTGGCTTCTCCTGTTTTCCTCAGCCCAGCATCCTTTCAAAAAATCAGCTGCTCTCCCTCTCAGCCTCAGAAGGTAACTTTCTTTATCACCTCACACAGAGTGGCACACACAACAGGGCTGATGCAAGACTCTGGGAAGGGAAAATCTACAGGTGTGTTTGTGCAGGGAGGAACATGACCCTCCACCTCTGTATCTTCCCTCCCTCCTAAGAGGTATAAATACAGCTCCACCACTTGCTCAACTGTACATCTGCCACCATGAGCGCACTTCTGATCCTCGCCCTTGTGGGAGCTGCTGGTGAGTTCCATGCCTTGCCTGGGCCTGTCCACCCTCTCCTCAAAGCCTTGTGCCCTACCATCACTGCTGTCCCTTCTATCTTACTACACTCTGATACTTACTGTACCCTGTCCAGAACCTCTCCTTCCCACCTTCTTGGGCTCTTGGTAAGCTTCACCTTTCTCCTTTTCCCTGATTCCACTCCCTCCACCATGCTGGGCTGAGGTCAGGGAGGGTGGAACAGTAGGCTAGGTGGAGAGAGTTCCTGAAATGAAGCAGCAGTCCCATAGCTTGGCTCTAGGATAGGTCCACCATAGCTGTCCTCAACCTTGAGCACACCTAAGGAATTTGAAAAAGTGCTCTTCCCAGAGACTCGCCCCTAGAAATCAAGACTTCCTGTTGGGGATATGGCCTGTGCACTAGATGCTTAAGCTTCCTGGGTGACTTTAAGATTCCCATATTTGCAGACAAGATCAAGAATAACTATTCTACTTGCTAGTTCTATTGCCTCCCTTTGCCATACCTAAGTGGGCCTGTGAGCTGGTATCATCTACTCTGACCTCACTGTGTAGATTTGGGCTGTGGGAAAGCTGGGTACAGCTGGGTCTACTCAGCTGGGAGATTATCCTAGCTATGCTGATAACCTGGGGCTCAAACAGCCATGGGGAGCAGACCAGTGATGAACCTGAGAGAGAAGCACTCAGTGGGGAGACAACCACATTCTGATCCATTTCCCAGCCAACACATGGTAACAGCTTTTAATATGCCCCCACTCTGGTACCTGCAGAGGAGATCTGAGCCCATGCAGGATATCCAGTTATGTGTTTGCAGGCACAGGTACCCGGGACAACTATAAGCTGTGGTGTCGACTGGGGTTGACAGTGCTCCTTGTTTGCCTATAATCACTGTACTAATTAAAAAATAATAATGAGCAGGAAGCAACCACAGGGCTGAAGTCTTCACCCTTCTAACTTCTGCTAAGTTGGTTTCTCCCTTTCTCCACTCAAGTTGCTTTCCCCATTGATGATGATGACAAGATCGTTGGGGGCTACACCTGTGCGGCAAACTCCATCCCCTACCAGGTGTCCCTGAACAGTGGCTACCACTTCTGCGGAGGCTCCCTCATCAATAACCAGTGGGTGGTGTCTGCAGCTCACTGCTACAAGTCGTAAGTGCTGAGCCCCAGACTGCAGAGCCCACAGCCCTGGTAACTGATGAGGCTGGAAGGAAGACAGGAAAGGTGGTAGAGAATAGAAGCTGCTGGAGGCATCTCTCATGCAGGAGAAGAGGTCCACACAATAGCAAGCCTCTCCCTCACCAAACAAATCTATTACACAGCAGAGGGTAGGGGTCAGAAAAGCAGAGAAGGATCATTTTGGTGTGGTAGGGACCAGTAAAACAGGCAGACAAGGACCTTGCACAGATACTCTTTGCTAACCAGCTACACGTGGGCTGTGGAAGGGGGCTTCAGGATAGCAGCTGAGAGCGATCCCCAGCTGCAGCCTGAACCCCATCCCTTCCACACCTCATCTCCTGCACACGGTGTCCCCCTCCACACTGCATCCTCTTCCACACCACCTACCTCCATCGCGGGAATGGCTTGGGTCACACACCAGCACCACCCACCAGCCCTCTGCTGCTCCTGTAATCCTGTCACATATGCTGTCCTGAGCCCCTAGAGTTCCTCCTGACCAGGGCATTTGAGAATTCTGGAGTGTCTTGGACTACGGAACGAAAGCCTGTACCATGCACCTCTTCCCAATAGCCGCATCCAGGTGAGACTGGGAGAGCACAACATCAACGTTGTGGAGGGGAATGAGCAGTTTATCAATTCAGCCAAGATCATCCGCCACCCCAATTACAACAGCAACACCCTGAACAATGACATCATGCTGATCAAGCTTGCCTCGCCTGCAACCCTCAACTCCCGGGTGGCCAGTATATCTCTGCCTTCCTCCTGTGCGTCTGCTGGCACCCGGTGCCTCATCTCTGGCTGGGGCAACACGCTGAGCTCTGGTGGTAAGTGAGGCTCTTCACCCTCCTTCTGCCTTCTCTCCCTACACTTCCCCAAACCAAGCATGTCTATAAGGTTGAATCCATTTGATTCTGCCGGAAAACACATTTCAAGTGCCCACTACACACAAGGCTTTGCAGTGGCCACCATAGTCATGTGAGTTCCCAAGGAGTTGATTCTCAGAATCAAAAGAGGACAAATCTAGAACATGATATCCTTACTTCCAGGATGGGGAGCAGCAATGGTCCTGCTGGGAGCTGACAGCCATTGTTCCTTTCTGGGGCTTACATCCTTGGGGTGCTCTCCAGTGTCTGCCCATGGTGTTGGGCACTGGATTTTTCCCCAGCCCGGTCTGACTCGTGTTTCTTCTTTCTCTGATCTATACCTGCCTCTCAAAGTCAAAAACCCAGACTTGCTGCAGTGCCTGGATGCCCCTGTGCTCAGTCAGTCTTCGTGTGAAGCCTCCTACCCTGGAGAGATCACCAGTAACATGTTCTGCGCTGGCTTCCTCGAGGGAGGCAAGGACTCTTGCCAGGTGACTGGAGCCCTTCCTATGTCCCCTGTGTCCTGGGAGCAGGATGTGAGTGGCCCAGATGGTGGGGCTGGCAGCTCCATGTGGTAACACCATGGAGAAATGATGGCCTGCATACCATCCACTTAGCAAGGGCACAGAGTGGGCAACCATGAGAAGGATATGGAGCCAGCTGACCAGAGTATTTAAATTCAGAGGAAGTGTAGCTGCATTCCCTCTCATCTCCTCTTTATATGACTTGTCCCTCCTTCCCAGGGTGACTCTGGTGGCCCCGTGGTCTGCAATGGAAAACTTCAGGGAATCGTCTCCTGGGGCTATGGCTGTGCTCAGAAGAATCTTCCCGGAGTCTACACCAAGGTGTGCAACTACGTGTCCTGGATTCAGCAGACCATTGCTAGCAACTGAGCCCCCGGTTCTGTTGCCATACCTACGGTAATAAAGTGAATCTGTGCCTGTTATTTGTTTGCTCCTTCTAGCCCCTTTGTTTTGGGAAACATGCTCCAATCTGAAGTCAGATACATCTCTCTTCTCAAGAGATAAGCAAACCCCTGCCATGTCCCAAAATACATTCTATGGAGCACTTGATTAGCAGTATATTAAGAGATGAAATCTGAAATCTGAAACTCATTAAAAGCAGTAAAAAGTGTCTGTCTTCTCAAGAAAAATAGATTTCAGAGAAGTGGTTTTAAAGAGCTTTGTACTTTCTGGGTACTCTGGTGGTCCTGAATCTGTCTACGTTTGCATATTTCAGTGCCATTGGCAAGGCCACTGCTTCTTTGGCTTTGGAAACAAGCCTCTTTGTATCCAGAGCAGCAAGCACACACATCTAGAGAAACCTCAGCATCAATTGCCTGAGTTTCTTCTGAGTCCCCTCGCAGGCATGCATTCTTGCTAGTGCAATTCTTCTTCCTCCTGGCAGCAAGGGTCCTACTAGAGAACTTCTCACTGGCCCTTTCTCAGCCATCTGCTTATGTATCTGCAGGGGACACATGAGCTCCTACACCTCCATTCATCACACTCCCAAGAAATCTGCCTTTGGCTCATTCCACATATAGTAGCAGTAAGTGCACACCATCCAGAGGTTACAGACATTGCACATTCAGCTTGCTTTCACTTCAGGAGTACAAATGGAAAGCAGAGGGCAGCAAAGACTATTGCCTCACCCACAGGCCACACCCTGTGGATGACAGAGCTGGGGATTGAATCCCCATTTGCCTAAATGCCCTCTACCCAGCCTACTGTTCTCTTGAGACTATGAAGAACCCACCAACCCTGATCTTCCATGTCTCTCCAGCCTGCCATCACCAGCGACCCCTTCCCTGCCTTTTGCACCTCCCCAGGGGCTCCTTCAATCACTTCCTTCCAGGCAGAGTGATTGTTCTTGAAGAGCTCCTGCTCATCACGTCCCTGCCTAAGTCAATCTTTTCCTGAGAATCTGGAAATTTATGGTTCTCCTTGCTCCAGTCCTACTTATGCTTCCACCACACATCCCTGTCTGCCTCTCCTTCATGCTCAGAAGTCCTGGGGGCCCATCCATGCACCTCTAGTCTCCATCTCTGGACATCATGGCCCCATCAGCCTGGATTCCCCTCCCACCCCTCTTAAGTATCTTCTGACACCTCCACCTCCCATGCACTGGCCCCACTGTCCTCATGTCTGAGTTTCAGGTGTCCACCCCCTGGTCTGTGCCCTCTTCTGTCATAGGAGGTAGCTCTCCTGGAGTTCAACTATGAGCACCCAGATGGGAGATCTTGTCTTGCTTGTCCAGCTATCTCCAGGGATTGAACAAAGCCTGGGATATAAGTAACCAGGGATAGAACAAATAAAACATGAAGGAGTGGAGGGAAGGGTACTGAGAAAAGAAAGAAGCTTCCAGAAGAATGGTTCTCAAAGACTGGTCCTTGGAACTGCAGCACCACGGTTCCTGGGGAACTGGAGAGAAATGCAGCGGTGAGCCTTGTCCCCAGACCTACTGCGTTAGAAGAACTGGAAGGGCACCCAGCAACCCGCCATTTAACAAACCTTCCAGGTCACTCTGATTACGCTAAAGCCCGTGAACCTCATTGGAAGAGACATCCCTGGGACAGTACTCTGTGGAAATAACAACAGCTAATATTTTCACTAACTGTGTGCAGGTACCATTATAAATGTTGGCATGCGTTACCTCATTTAGCTCTCACAGCAACCCCATAAGGTAGTATTGTTATTATGATTCCCATTTTATCCATAACAGACTGAGAGAGAGAGATTTAGTAATTTTCCCAAGGCCTCCTAGCCATAAGCAGGGGCCTGGTGAAACCCAGGAAGATGGCTCCAGGCTGGGTTTACAGTGCCATAACTCAATAGAGGAAGCTTGGGAGCTGGTTTCAGCTCTGTCTCTTCATCACCGAGTGCTCATTTTAGCCTCTAGATATCTATTCCTCAACTGAGAAAAAATAGCTTGAATTACACAGGGATAAACTGTTACTAGCACGTTTCCCTGTTCTCCCCCGGGCTCCCAGCACATGCCCTGAGGAAGACTGCTTCTTTCTTTACCCCCACCCAGCACTCTACATCCTTTTTGCCCCCTCAAGTGGCCAAACCTATACTGCAACGACCTAGGTCTTAAAAAAAAAAAAAAAAAAAAAAAAAAAATAATAATAATACGGAAAGCCTGCCCCCTGCTGCTCAAGATGGTGAATGACCTCAAACTGGTTCCTGCCTAGTTGGTCTGTTGCTACTACTGCAGAAAAAAATTTCGTTGCATTTAGGTATAATGTCCAGAGGAGCAAAACTGGAGGAAAAAAAACCTCTATGAGATGCTATGATGTCAAGACAGAGTGGTTTTCTGATTTGTAAGGCTAGTTGGGATAAATGTCACCAGCTACTTGATTAAGGAAAAACTTACTTAGAAAGTAAAGTATTGATTGGCAAATGGGGTGAATAAACAACAACAAAAAATGTAAATAGATCAAAATAAACTACATTTCAATGAAGAAAGGAAATAAAGAGGAAACCTCACCACATTCCAATTGATGAAGCAATAGGCCTTTAGTTGGGCTTATCGTAGAATATTCTGAGATATGGCATTATTAAAGGGATAAATGCAGACTCTCTCCTTACGTCTTCTGTCCAGCTTAAGGCATCACTAGCTTAGCTAGCCTCTGCTGTTCTTCAAGCTTACTCCTGCCTGGTTCCCATCAGGAGACAAGTTGTGGATCCCATGCCTCGAACTGTGATAGAAACAGCAGGACGATTTTCTCCCTGGTTGTTTAAATATAGGTTAGCAAATTCAATCCTAAACTCAATTTGTAATTTTTACATGTTTCCTAAGGGTTTGGGGCCCCACTGAGAAAATTCAGGACCACAAGATAGCTTCTTTTATAAACTGATCTTCGTTGGGAAAAAGACTTTGTAAATTAAACAAATATTTATTTCTAAGTGGCAGATCTTCATATATTATTTAAAGCAATATTTTATTGCTTTTCTTTCCTTTTTAAATTTTGTTAATTTAGGTTTGATTATAAATAGATATAGCTATGCAGCCCTAATACAAAAGCAACACAGTAAAGTTGACACAGAGAAATGTGACTTGTGCTTCCACTGTTTCTATCCACTCTACTCATCATGAGTAATTACTTTTATCAGTTTCTTTTTATCTTTCCAGTGTTTCATTATGCAGAACCCAGTAACTAAATGTATATTTCTTTCTTTTGCTTCTGTTGTTAGGCAAAAGGTAGCATACATGTTCACAATTCTTTGGCTTACTCTTTTCAGTAAAGCATGTATTTTAGAGAGCTTCCCATAGCAATATAAGCCATTGTTATTCTTTTTTAGCATTGAATAGTATTCCATTGTATAGACATAATAGAATATGGCTATTTATCCATTCCCTTGCTGATGGGTGTTGGAATATTCCCCAATCTTTTGCTACTCTACATGATGCAACTATATTGCAAACATTTTATATTTTTATGCAAGAGTATTTACAAGATAAATTCTCTAGGTGAGATTTCTGGATGAAAAGCAAATGCATTTGTAATCTTTATAGTTGTCTCCAAATTGTTCCCCATAAAGCTTGCATTATGGAATTTTTTCCATAATGCAATTGTGTTGACCAAATAGATGAAAATTATTATTTCCGTGCTGTTTTATTTTGCATTATCATTGTGAGAAGTTTTCCCCCCTATAGTAAAGGACTAGTTCAACATCTTTTTTCTCTGAACCAATTTGCTTTTGCCCCTTTTCTATTGGACTGCTGGATTATTTTCTTGTTGATCTCTAATAGTTCATTATATATTAGGGAGATTAGCCCTTATGGTAAGAATCACAAATATTTTCCCCATATTTATCATTTGATTTTGTTTTTATTTTTCCATGCCAATGTGTGCTTATCATACTCAGTTTGCCACGTGGTTTTCTTCATCTTAATTTTAAGCAGCACCTTGAAAGGCAATTGAAGGGAGCACCATCTAGGGAAGAAATATCTAGGCCATTTGAGTTCAGGTTAAACTTTACAGTCATCTTTTGAAAGGGAAAAACAGTATCTCCCAACAACTTCAAATATTTCTATCCCTCCAGAAAGAGAGCAAAAACTGTAGCCATGATCACAGGGCCTTGTGATTGGACTGGAATGTTTGCCAGCCTGTCTCTCTACCTGGCCTCCACAGGTATTTCCTCAACTGCTTTTCCCAAAATTTGATTCCAGGGTCAACAATGAGAAGTCAGGATGGCTGCCAACATGTTCTCTCCTCTGATCCCATGCTTGTTCTTGGAAATACAGTGCACCCTTAGCTATTTGTTTGTTTATAACTAGTACAGCTCTGATTCCTCACAGCTCTTGGTCAGTTCTCTAGAGAACTATGGCCAGGGTAGACAGGGGCTGCTGCTTCTCGACAGGTGGCTCCCTTCTATGACAGCAACTTGGAGAGGGAGGTACGATGTGGGGAAACCAGACTCTTCAGCAAGGAGCCTTGCAAATTCACACAGCTCAAGGAGCTGAGAACATCATAGAAAAGAGGCAGGCTGAGGAGGGAGCCCCCAGTCTAGTCCACACCCCACCACCACTTTGCACAATGGAGGGTGATGTCACCTACCTGTCCTCCAGTTGCCTCAAAGCAGCAGCTGCACTGGTGGTTACTTCAAGCCTCCAGGAGGCGGCCCCATGGGAGGGACCCTTTTTGTACAAAGCTGTAACATTGTGGGGACAGGGGGCCACGGTGATTCAATTCTATGGGAAGCCTTTACAAAAACCTCTCACCCTGCTCCAATGTCCACCATTTCTCAACATTTTTTCCCGGGCCACAAGGCCAGGTATGGTTAGATCCAGGATGTACCTGACTTGCTCCTGACTACATGTCAGCCCAAGGCCATGGGTGCAGACAGGCCCAGGTCTGAACTGGATCTTTCCAGGAAGTTAGAACACATGCACAAGAAGAACGCCTCGGTGGACCAACAGAAGACTCCTTCATCCCCAAAGCCATGAAACCAGGACAAGGTCAGTGGAAAGGTGGATTGGAGGTGATGAGCTTCACAGAAGACTCCAGAAGAAGCCAAGGATATCCTGACCCTTGTGAGACACGGTCACAGGCTCTGGGCTCCTGGCCTGCTGTCTAGGACTACATCCCTCTGATGGGCCTTTAGACAGAAAGCATTTGGGTGGAGCATTTTTATTTTTTGAGAAAAGAATGTAGGTCCCACTAGATGGACTCTGCCACACTCTGTGGTCCCCTGGGTCCAACATTGAAATGCCCATCCGTGTAAAGCCTACAACACAGAAGTGGACAGTCCTCACCCAAGGTCCTCTAGACACTAGCCAAGGCCCTTCTCTCTCCATACTTTGAATTTGTTTTTCTCCTTGTCCCATGTCACTGTGTGAACACAGAAGTTTACTTTGGAGAAGGCACCAGGCTCACAGTGGTAGGTAAGACATCTTCCAGGTAACTTCCCAGGTCTCTCATAGGACAAAGTGCATCCCCAGTATCCATTTTAGAGTGGCCATGTCCTGCTGTGTCAACTATGACTATACCTTTGGGTCAGGGACCAGGCTCAAAGTCATAGGTAAGGCTCAGGGTTTCTGGGCTGGGTGTGCTGAGGACGGACTCTGACCTGGGAAATGTGAAAAGAAGGACAGAGCTCCTGGGACCCAATTGGGAGAGAGGACATCTTGTGTTGGAAATGAGTTAAGGAGAGGCTCCATGTGGGGTGCATCCCCCAGGTGGCCCCAAGGTTCTTGGCAAAGTTGGAGCTGAGCTTGGGATGGAGGAAAAAGAGATAGTGCTGTACCCGGAGTAATCCCCTGAGATGAGGGACTGGGGGGAATTAATGAACTGTGACATCTGTCTTCCTCACTCTCAGAGGTTCTCTCGAGGCTCTTCAGATCTGCTCTGGATTTTGCAGGCACTCATGCCCTCTCCTTCCTCACCTGTCTGGGTTCTGGGTGAGCCCTGGAAGGGCAGGGGGAGTTTATGGAGCAGGCCCGTGGCTGTGTGTGGGAAGAGACCCACGAAAGCCTGACCTCTCCTGAAGCCCACTGTACTTGGCAGACTGGGAGGTTTTGAAGTGGACCTGGGAGGCTGTGTTCTGGAAGCACCCTCTATTTTGGGGAGGGAAGCCGGCTTACAGTTGTAGGTGAGTAAGTTGGGTCTGGAGGGAGGACTAGGAACCAAATGGAGCCTCCATCTTGGGTATGAATCTGAATTCTTATCTTGAAGTAACAAGGAGGGAACAGTTTCCATTTCCAGTATTTCGTGCACTGGCTGTGCCGAGCCTGAGGACCCTACCAGGAGGCAGGGAGACTCAGCTGGAAGTTACTGTGCCCATCTCCTGTCTCCTTGAAGGAGCCTATCTTGGCCTTGGTAGATGGGAAGTCCTTATAGCTGTCACCATTGGGGTGAATTAGTTCCCGGACCACAGCACTTCCCATTGCCCCATTACCTGCCCTGCCCTTCTGCTTCCCTAGAAGGAATGGGAAGAGGAATCACAAAGTGGGGAGGAAGGAATAGAAAGCAGCTGGAAGCTGTTTTCCTGCCAGGCTTTAGTGCGAATGAAAAGCTAACTTTCGGCAGCAGAGCCGAGCCCTCCATCTTGGGTAGGTAAAGGTCTTCTTTGGGTATGGGATACTGTCAGGTTGGAGCTGCAGGAAGACTCCTGGGAAAGGACAGGGACTGAGGACAAAGCCCAGGCTGCAGCTCAGAGAATGAGGGAGGGTGGAGTTGTGGCAGAGCCAGCTCTGGGAAGGAAGGAAGGGCCCCAGCAGCTCCTCTTGAGTTTGCCACCCTCGTGCAATACTGTGGAGCAATGAGGCACAGCACTTTGGAGAGGGGACTCGACTTTCTGTCCTAGGTAAGGTGGGGGACTGGGACAATGGGGCCACTGACACCTGGAGCCAGGCTCCACTTCCTCTAGTGCTGATGGAAGGGACTCAGTCACATTTGAATTTATTACTTGGGGAGGGGGGGATTCTGAGCACCTGAGTTTGCCTCTCCTTAGATGGGACTTGGTCAGTTCCTCTAATTCTCTCCTCCAAGCCTTCAGTGCATGATCGGCCTCCTCCTTCCTTTCTTGGCTTATCCTTTCTTCTTATGTGCTGGGATGGATCTAAACCTCTTTTTCCTGTCCCTCTTATCCCATATCGTGTTAGACATTTTCCCAATTGAATTGCTTTACTCCAGAGTTATGAGTGCAAGCAGAGAGAGGTGGCCATCCCCAGGCAGGAGCTAGGGCTTGGCCTCTGGGTTTTACCATGGCCACCTCCCGCTGTGTTCCTATAATTCACCGCTCCATTTTGGAACAGGCACCAGGCTCACTGTGACAGGTATGGGGGCTCCATTCCTGAATGCAGGTGACTGTGTTTGATGCCAGTGATCTGGGAAGTGGTTTGGGTATAAGGTCAGAGTTGCCCCTCTGCACCAGGCCCTGCACTGTCTCCTACCTTCCCGTTGGCTTGTGGATTCTCCTGCTTGCTCTCCTGCTGGTTGCTTGCAGCTCCGCAGTTGCAGATCTCCATCCTCATCTTTGGGGCTTTGTGGTTTGGTTGCTTTTCTTTTCATTGTTCTCTGGGACTCTTGTCTCTCCTTTTTTAGTGGATATGTTGTTTTCCTTTCTCTTTTATATCTTCTCTATTTTTCCTTCCCATTTTCACTCCAGTTCTGCATCATTGATCCTGTCCCAGTGAAGAGCTGTCTTCCAGTTAAAACCCTCCCTGACATCTCCCTCCGGCACAGAACCCTGGTCTCACCCTCATCTTCCTCCTTTCTGTCTCTAGCAGACTCTACCACATTTGTCTTCCTGGGGCGGTTGTTGAGGAAGGCAGTAAGAACCGGGCTGGTGAGATCAGGGTGGCTTGAGGACTGCTCTTGGGACCAAGGGCACAAGTCCCTGTCACAGCCTTGTAGGAGCTTCCTGGGGAGTCTCTGAGGTGGGCTGTGTTTGGTGGGCATCTGGAAGACAGGTCTGAAAAAACTGTGCAATGGGAAACTTGCATGATCTTAGCAACAGCCAAGTATAAAGAAAAAATAAGTAAGAGACCCTACTTTCTCAGACCTCAAGATCCATGCTGGGATAACAGGATGAGGCACCAATACGAAACCCTAATGAAATGATTACCATGCTTGGGAGGAGGAAGACAGGCGAGTGGAGTGGGATTGGGAAGGGATGGAGTCTGGGCTGGAGAATGGGACACCTAGATCCTACCAGCAATGGGAGCTTGGGCAGACAGACACTGTCTGCAAGTGAGGCCACATGGCAAGGAGTTCGATGGAAAGTATAATCATCTGATTCAAAGGCCTAAACTCAAGAGGCTGGGGCTGGAGAAGAGCTGAAGGTGGGGTTCACGAAATTTGAAAAATGATTTAAATTGTCTCAGTCTCTCTAAGGCACATAAAAATAGAATGGACCAACTTATGTGAAAATCCTTTGTAAACAATTCACCTTAATGTGATGACTTTCATTCTTGTTATCATTACTGTCTCAGGGTTTGCCGTTTTCCATGCCTCTGTCTCAGTTTTCCCATCCAAATTATTTCTCAGTTTTGATAAAAGTAGAGATATCTGCACTTGTCATATTTCTGCACCAAAAGTCCACCCCTATGTTCAGAGCAGTGCGGAGTAGAGAAGACAGTAAACTGGCAAAAAGAAGGTTCCCTGAAGGATGGATGTGATTTTTCCATTCCTCATTTGTCTTCAGATAAGGTTATTTTTTTCTAGTGATCCCAGAAATTCTTTCCCTCCCTTCTGCCAAGCATATGAAACGGACGAAGGCTTCTCAGTGTGAACACTTTGCAGAAACAGCCTTGGGCTTTGTGATTTGTTTAGACCACCAAGTAGTTTTGACTACTTCAAAGAATACAGAGTTTGGCGTGGTTCCCAAACCTGACCGGGGAGGCTTGTGAACCCTAGAAAAAAGGAAAGGGTTCAACCTATGAATAGCACCAAATTATATCCGTGCTGGGCAAGCTACCACAGCCACCCTGAGCCCCAGTGTAGGAGTGAAACATCAGATAGGGTATCAGGCAGAGGCAAGCTGGATCCTCAGCACAAGTTACCTGTGAAAAACAAGAATTGAGCACGGTAATCAGAAAAATATACTCAATGTAATGGGAAAATTGTCTATTCTAGGCAAGAAAAGCGAATTCTAGTATGTGGCATGACTCAAAACAGAATATCACTTTGTCCCAAAAAGGGAAAATGAAAATCGGGAAAAAATCAATTTAGTTCTTATGATCATGCTACTAAAAAAATTCTTCTATCACAAAACTAAGTTCATTCAACTCTACCATGACTGCTTCTGTCTAAAAGATAGCCACACACCAAGCAAGACTGAATGAGAAAGAAAGAGATACATTCTTTCAACAGATGAGATATTGTAGAGTAGGAGATATTGCAGTGAAAGGCAAGAAAATTAGGACAGATGTCACCTTAAGGAGATCAAAAAGTAGACAACGTATAGCCATCGGATAATTCAGTGGCAAAGCTAAGGGAGAAAAGAGAGAAGAAAACAATGATCCCAAACCACACAGGATGTACTGTGGCATAGTTTCCTTGTATCTTGATGCCTTCCCAGCCCACACACATGCACGTAGCCCCTTCCAGACCCAGCTGGCTCTGAGAGCAGCCCTGTTCCCAACCATTCTTCACTCTGCAGAAAACCTGGACAGGGTGAATCCACCCAAGGTGGCTGTGTTTGAGCCATCAGAAGCAGAGATCGGCCAGAAAAAGAAGGCCACGCTTGTATGCCTGGCCACAGGCTTCTTCCCAGACCACGTGGAGCTGAGCTGGTGGGTGAATGGGAAGGAGACCCGCAGCGGGGTGAGCACGGACCCTCAGCCCTACAAGGAGCTTCCTGGCAACCCAAACTCCAGCTACTGCCTCAGCAGCCGCCTGAGGGTCTCAGCTGCCTTCTGGCACAACCCCCGCAACCACTTCCGCTGCCAAGTCCAGTTCTATGGGCTCTCAGAGGATGACCCCTGGGACCAGGAGGACCGGGCCAGACCTGTCACCCAGAATGTCAGTGCTGAAGTTTGGGGGAGCGCAGGTGAGTGGTGCCAGAGAGGCCTGTGGGGAGTCTGAGCCAGATCAGCACCAGAGGGAGGTGGAAGAATTCAGGTAGAAAGGCTAGATAGGAAACAAAAAGGGGAGAGGGGACTAAGGCCCATCATGAAGATGATCTGGGTACCTCTGGCTAATTCCTCAACCCGAAGCCTTGAGCTAGAGACCTCCTTCCATGTGACCTGTGTAGCTCAGCATCTCAGTAGACTCTTTGTTCCCTCTGGTGCTGCATTTGCCAAGGTGTCAAGGGAGATGAGTTGACATCAGCATGACACAAGAAAGATGATGATGCTCTGGGCCTGCCAGTCTGTGCTAACCTCAAGGATGCCTTAGTTTTCAATCTGCATAAGAAGGTGAGGTCTCTCACCAATTTCTCTCCCTTCTTTTCTTTCAGATTGTGGATTCACCTCTGGTAAGTGAGCCTCTCTGCTCTGTACCCATTGTGGTTTTGGCTGTGGAACCAGGGCACCAGGTCGATAGAGGCCAGAGCTATCTGTTCACAGGTACTGACCTTCTCTCACTTCCTTCCATTCAGTGTCCTATCAGCAAGGGGTCCTGTCTGCCACCATCCTCTATGAAATCCTGCTGGGGAAGGCCACCCTGTATGCTGTGCTGGTCAGTGCCCTTGTGCTGATGGCCATGGTAAGAGGAGGGCAGGAGGGGTAGGGAGGTTACAAGCAACACACAACACCCAACAACTCAAAGCCTAGAGCATAGAGATGCTTTCAAGACCAGAAGTGGGCAGGTGGGAGTTTACTCACATGCCTTAAAAGACAAGCTTCACCTCTGGGGGAGTACAGTGGAAGGGCTACGATGGGAAGGAGAAGCTATGGTCACCCAAATTCCCAGTGCATATCATTAAGAGCCCTACAATTTATGTGGTCAATTGTCCCTGCTTCTTCCTCCCAATTCCCACCACTCATGGCACTTGGTAACCTCATACCCTTCTCTTCTGCAGGTAAAGAAAAAGCATTCCTGATCCTACTCTGGCTGTAGAAGCAGAGACTTCCAATGTATTAGAGTGTCCTTGTGGATTCTCCTTCTGCCAGTGCTTCTGAAGAGCTGATTTCATTTCTCTACTCATTCTAATTCTACCCCCTAAACTCATGCACACCTGTATGTTTATGGCTGAAATATCCCTACCCCAGGGGAATCCCAGAGTGTCCAGATGATGGAATCAATAAACATGTCCTGGTCTTCCTGATGGACTTGTGAATGTCCAGATATCACTTCTTTCCAGTGCCCAGACTCCCTATGATCTGGCTTTCAGTCAGGATAGAAACAAGAAGTATTCAAAGTTGATACAATCCCCTCAGGTGAGAAAAGTCTAGAGAAGGATCCACCCAGGATCCCCAGGAGAGGCAAATTAAATGCAGAAAGTAGAGATGGGAAGAGACAGGAAGGTAGAAAAGGTAGAGATGATTTCTAGAAAGTCTCAAAATACAGAAGTTCTGAGAACAGTTCTGAGACACAGCTGATTTACACAGAAGTGTGAATCTGCCAACTGGTCATGTTCCCATGGCTAACAATCCTTAGTTTCCCATATGCACCCACCTTCCTTGTAGCCACCTCCCTGAGCACACCAGCCTCCATTTGTTTACCAAGCAGCTTTCCCAGCTAAAAAGAAGAGAATGCACTGACTTGCAAACTTATTTTCAATAGATGTGTCTTGAATTTTAAGTTACAAATCTGTTGATAAATTTCTGTCTAGTGAATTAGAAGGGTATGGAAATGGGCTCTGAATGCTCCTGGAAGGATAGAAAATGAAGTTTCTTAAAACCAAGAATCATTGCTATTTCTACTAGAAATTCTTCAGAAGCTCTCTGCTGTTTCATTGTCACCATGGTGACATAATCCCAAGCATAGAGACCCGACGATGAACTCTGCCTCATTATTCCATGCTCCTGCTATTCTCCCCATTCCTAAACCTCAGAGCTTCTTGCTTGCAAGCCATTATGCACAGGCTACATCTGCTTTATCTGGAATAACACAGTATTCTTCTTTCCCCGCTATCTTCTGATTGCCTTCAACACCTGCCCTTCCCAAAAGTCTTCTCTGACCCTTTATTGCCCTATCCTCACCTCTGACTCTTCTGAAATTGTATTAAATTCAAAAATAAAATGTAAATCCCTGTATTTTGCCATCGTGGGTGCCTTGTGCACATGCCCTTCAGGACACTTGTCACATGGGATGGAAACCACCTCTTCACTTGTCCCGCGCCTCCAGTCCACTCTAAGTGCATCGTTACCAGGTGATCGTGAGCATAGCCCTAGAGCGCTGCATGGCGCCTTGGCTCTGTGTAGACATCAGGCAGGTGTAATATCTGACCAAGTGGCCCAACTCGGGAGCAGTCCTCACCATCAGGCCTTCCTGAAAGAGCCATAGACACTTCTTCTATTCCACTCACACATGCACACGCACAGTCACACACATGTACACACGGTTACCCACTCCCTAAGCATGTATTATTGCAATGTATTGCTACTGACCTCCAAGCAAATAAAGATAGCCAAGCCACAGTACCCAAGCAGCTTACATGTTCATAAAGGGATGAAGGCATGAACAGAAAGGGCCAAGATACAAGGCAATGCTCTGAAATAGCAAGGTGAGCTGGCTACTAAAATGCAGCCAGGGACTAGCTCTCCCTTTCTGACTGGGACAGTCAGGAAAGTGTCTTTGGAGGTGACAAAGCCTTCAAACAAAGAATTAGTCTCAGTTATCCACTGTAGAATGTGGTTGTGCCAGTGAGAGGCAGGAATGGAAGCCCAAACAACATGATCAGGTCCTTGGAGGGTACAGTCCTTCAGCTGGCTGCAAGGTTGAGTGGTAGGAATCATCAAAACCACGGCCAAAAAGTCAGCTTGGTGATGCATGCTACTCAGAGAGCCAGCATGGCATGGAGCAGGTCTTCACTACACACTTCTGGGGTGATTGAATGAGGAAGTGGGAAGTTGTCCAGGAAGCAGTGGGAATGATGGTGCTCTCTGAGCTGTGTGTCCTTGTGCCCTAAGTTTTACTTCCTGCTCTGTGGACTCCCCTTTCAAAGATGTCCTCTGCCCCTTGCTCCTCCCATCAGCATCACTATAAATGCCAGTCTGAGCAGGAGGGTTCAGTGAGCCCCAGAAGGGAGACCCAGTGACATAGATGGTCTCCTCAGGGGGGTGCCTGTTCCCAGGAGGGGGGCTCCCCTCCCTCACCCACCGCTGCCACTACTAGTTTTCCCTGAGCTCCTCCCCACTTCAAATTTACCCTGCATTGGTGTTTCCCAAAGCCCCACTCAGTCAGACTAACCTCTGCCACCTGCACTTCCTGCCCCTGCCCCGTGTTTGGGGAGAGAGGCCAGCGGGGAGGAAACGTTTTTGTATCACAGTATAACATTGTGAGGACTGGGGGGGGGCACAATGATTCAAGTAGAGGAGGTGCTTTTACAAAAAGCTCTGCCCTACATCGAGTTCCTTCCCTGCCCAAGGAGTGCAGCCACCAGATAGTGAGAGGTCTGTGGAGCTGGATCCTGCCTGGTCCTGCCCAGGTCTGTACTCAGAGAATACCTGTGCATCTTTCTGCCCCAGACAGCTTAGCAGGAATGTGATGGCCATGGCGGCACAGTGGGATCACCAGTCAGCACATTTCATTAAACTTGACCTTGACAAAACGTTTGTGCACGTATCACATATAAAAATTCATTAAAAGAAAAAAGTGTTTGCGGGAAAGATATCCCATCTTTCTGATTAAGAAGTTGAGGTCCGAGAGGTTACAGGTCGCGTAAGTAATAAGATAGGGTCTAACCTGCAAGACTTCCCACCTGCAGGCTACCTGTCACCGTCCATGCCCCTTCGGATCTCAAGGCCACTGCATCACCCCTATGCCAAGTTGATTGTCCTCTGCAAATTGGGGGTGACCTCCTACAATGCCCAGATCACTATGCCCGGCTGATTCTGGAAGTGGGAAGAGACCAGCCCAGGAAGCAGAGGGAGGGTGCCCCCTTTCTGAATTGGGGGAAGTGGGGAAGGAGGAGGAATTCTAGGCAGCCCCTTCCTGCCGTGCTACTATGCTGAGCAGTTCTTCGGGCCAGGGACCCGGCTCACGGTGTTAGGTAAGACAGCGGCCCCCACCCCCAGTGGGAAGGAGGGTGGGCCGCTGGGCCTGGAGCCCCTGAACCCTGGCCTTGGGGAAAAGGGTGATCGCTGGGCCACCCCGGCCCTTTATGGAGTTTGCGCTAGGATCGCCAGGGCTGTGTGAACACTGGGCAGCTGTATTTTGGGGAAGGCTCCAAGCTAACCGTGCTAGGTAAGGAGAGCAGCTGGGGGCTGCAGATGGGTGGGACCCGGAGGGGTGGGCAGCAGCTCGATGTGCCTTGGGGGCCATGCTGAGAGTCTCTGCTCAGCCCCTGAGCCAGGGACCTCTGGTCTCGTGCTGGGAGAGCTGTGGAGCACTAGGGTCGGTGGGGACGGAGTGGGTCCTGGACAGTAAGAGTTTGCAGCGCCGGTTTTTGTCCTGGGCTCGGATTCTGTGAGCACAGATACACTGTATTTCGGCCCAGGAACCCGGCTGACCGTGCTGGGTAAGCGGGGCGCACGGAGGAGCTAGGAGTAGCGGGGGTGTGGGCGCTCAGCGACCCCCGGGGTTGGGAATGGCCTAGCCTATTTTTGTGCTGCGTCTGGGTGCTGTGGGCCAAAACACTCAGTACTTCGGTGCTGGCACGCGGCTGTTAGTTGTAGGTAAGCGGGGACAGGGGAGGGTTTTTGTGGGGGGCTGGGAGGCTGTGAACCAAGAGACCCAGTACTTCGGGCCAGGCACGCGTCTCACGGTGCTAGGTGAGCGCGGGGCGGGGGCCTTGGTGGGCGCGGGCAGCAAGGGTCCTGTTTTTGTGGGGTGCCCTGGGGCTGTGCTCCGCAGCCGCCACGCAGGTTTTCGGGGCTGGCAGCCGGCTGACCCTGCTGGGTGAGTGTCCGCAGGGCCGTGCGCCCGGCACGGGGCGGGAGGGAAGGCGGCCGGACAGCGGGGGGCTCCGAGCCCGGCGCTGCGCCCTGCGGCTGGGGAACGCCCGGGCCGCTGCGGGGGTTTGCGAACCAGGCTGCTCCTCTGTGCTCCTACGAGCAGCATTTCGGTCCCGGCACCAGGCTTACGGTCCTAGGTAAGAAGCGCGCGCTTGGCCCACCTTTCTCGCCCGAGGCCCTGGGTCCCTGGAGGGGGTTGGGGTCCCTCAGAGAGTTGGAGGTCACCGTGGGCGCAACTCTTACCTCCCGCGCCTCCCAGCTTCCTCGCTTCGGGAAGGAGGAGCGGGGGCTGCTGGGGTCTGGGAATCCGGATGTCGAAGACAGTTTGGGACGGAGTGAGGGATGGAGGAGAGGATTTACAGTACTAGGACTCCGGGAGCCCCTACAATGGAGGAAAAAAGGGCAAACTTGGTTTGGAGAAAGGCCGTAGGCGGGGTGTGTGTGTGTGTGTGTGTTGCTATGTACTACTAAGAGGCAAAAAATGCTAGATGAGTGGGAACAGCAGGGATGAATCTGGGACAAGAGTGGAACAGTTTGATAAACATGTGAGTCCCTAGAGAAGAAGCAGAAAAGGTCTGGCTTTGTTGACTTACTGTTCAGCAGTGTGATTTGAAATTAGATTTAAGCCCTTCCCTTCTTTCTCCAGAAGGTCGGGACCCCTGAATCACGTGACTGGTCAGTCAACCCAAGTGCTGGCCAGAGGGCAGGGGAACCTCAGCCCCGGGGGTGGCTTTGCCTCCTGGGAGAATCCTGTCTCTGTCCTGGGCAGGCTGAAAGCCAAGTGTTCTAGGTTAAACATCCCACACAGTTCAGGAAATTTATTACAAACACATGTTCAAATGCAGATATTTTGCCTGGAAAGTGAGGAAAATTCTCTGGAAGAATATTAGCTCTTAGGGCTGGATAGGAGTTTAAATGACACTTAGCAACAGAAACCCTGAAACAAGAGAAGGGAAACAACTCCCAGCCTGGCTACATTAACCAGGGTCTTTTGATAACTGCAACAATAGACACCATATGTAGTTGGATTGTCCTTAAGCTGGATCCCCATGGGGCTCAGCTACACTGAAGTGTGACCAGAGGAAATTCCTGTAATCCAGAAGCTGAGGTGGAGAAGGATGAGGCTTTAAAACCAGACGAGGCCAGGTTCCAATGCCTGGCTCTTTGGTGATTAGGTGTCCTTAACCAAGTTAATGTGTGAACCTCAGTTTCTATTGTATTTAGCAATGGTCTGGAGGGCAATGTATGTGTCAGAGGTGGGTTGGGAAAAAGAAAAAAAAGAAACTTTACAATTTTGTCTGAGGCTAATGCAAGCATCAGCTCACTAGGAACACTTTCAAGGCCACACAGTCAAGCTTGTCCCTTTTGGGGACTCACCTAGGGTAGTATGGCTGACCAAAGCCTCTCTGTGGAGTTCTATAGACCATGCTTTAGGGTGTGCTTGTGTTTGTCACAGTCATGGCATCAATAAATACCCTAGGGAACAGCACACATGGCTCAAGGCAGATCTTTAATTTTTACAGCAGGGACTGTTTGGTGAAGGAGTGGGTCAGAGATGTTCTGTCCACAGGGACCTTGGAGGGCTAGGAGAATCCTGAAGTCTTTGAAACAAGCTGAGAACAGAAAGGTTGATGGAGCCAAGTGCTGCAGATAGAAGTGAGGATGTTACCATTTAAGCAGCATAACTAATTCTCAAGGTAGGAGTTGGGATAAGGGGAAGCTGACAAGATGGAGGCAGGACCAGCTGTAGAATTTGTAGATCCAGATCAAAATGAAAATGTGCAGGCTCCTTAGAATTTCAAAATGGCGGCAACAGAGGATGAGAGCAGGCACTAGAGCCTCCTCCACCTGTAGTTCTGTGCAGTGAGTGCAGAGGCCACAGGCCCAGGAGGTCATATGCCATAGAAATGGAAAACGGGTCGGAACAAATTTTCTCCATAGTTCTGGAGGCTAGGAGTAGGTTCTCATACAAAAGATATTTCATTTTAACAGAATTTCTCAGAAAAAAATGTCAAGGAAAAGCAAAGAACACTGGAATCACAAGTGGTACTTGCAGGCAGAGGAGTTGATAGGATGGTTTCATATACTATGAAATGTGAGAAAACCTCATGTTTTTACAGATGCCTTGTAAACCCAAAGGCTGTCCTCACATGAGTGCCCAGAGATAGGCCACATGGATATTGGCCTCCCTCAGTGCCTCTTTCTTCCCCAATTCCTCTTTATTCTTTAGCCCTTTACCTTTAGGTACAAATAACATGGTATTGGATAGGTCATTCTAAATAGTCATGTTGTTAAATTTTTAAACATGCTGTGGAAAGTCAGTTTTGTAATTTTCACTTCATGAACAGAAACAAACAAACAAACAAAATAAATGTGGAGCAAAAAGCCTGTCCAGAAGTCAAAGTCAAATCCTAGGCAAAGACAGTCTTAGGATTTAGATCCTATTATTGTGATTTCTATCCAGGGCTCCATTTAAATAGCTACTGCATAAAATGCTGAAAGAGATAGGTAAGCTTTCATTGACAGAAGAGAAGCCAAATGTCAGTGACGGACACCACTCAGAATTGTAGGCAGTGCCCTTTATAATGCCACCTTAGGGGGATGGAAAGATAGTGGACAGTTGATGTCCAGAGGGTAAATACCAAGGACAGGCAAGGAAGAAGGAGAATGTCAGAGAAGAATGGACAGTGGCTCCTTCCAGCCAGCTCTGAAAGGAGCCCTGTTCCCAACCACTCTTCACTCTGCAGAAAACCTGGACAGGGTGAATCCACCCAAGGTGGCTGTGTTTGAGCCATCAGAAGCAGAGATCGGCCAGAAAAAGAAGGCCACGCTTGTGTGCCTGGCCACAGGCTTCTTCCCAGACCACGTGGAGCTGAGCTGGTGGGTGAATGGGAAGGAGACCCGCAGCGGGGTGAGCACGGACCCTCAGCCCTACAAGGAGCTTCCTGGCAACCCAAACTCCAGCTACTGCCTCAGCAGCCGCCTGAGGGTCTCAGCTGCCTTCTGGCACAACCCCCGCAACCACTTCCGCTGCCAAGTCCAGTTCTATGGGCTCTCAGAGGATGACCCCTGGGACCAGGAGGACCGGGCCAGACCTGTCACCCAGAATGTCAGTGCTGAAGTTTGGGGCAGTGCAGGTGAGTGGTGAGCAGGTGAGGAGAGTGAGTCAGATCAGCACCAAAGGGAGGTGAAAGATCCAGGTAGAAATCAACAATAGACCCAGATGAAAGCCAGAGCACGTGAGAAGGGATGATCAAGACCATAGTATTAGCAAACCATAACATACACTTTTTCCCAGGGAACATAGCAGTGGCTAGGGAGCTCAAGCCCTTTCCTTCCACAGATTCTCAGCCCTGTCTGCTGTGCTGACGTGTCCTCTATGAGCAGCCATGGAGCTTAGCACCTGTGTACTGTGTCTCCCATCCCACTCACTGATCCTGGATGAGTTGACGATGATAATGTTCCTACACTGGATCAGCATGAGGAAGACAGGAGGCACGCTGCACCATCTGATGTGCATGTGTTTGTGCCTGAGTCTAACTTTAAAGTCTATGATTTAAGGGTCACTAGCCTATAGAAATGACATTCTCTCACCTACTTTCTCTCTCTCTTTTCTTTTAGACTGTGGCTTCACTTCCAGTAAGTAATCCTCTCCATTTCTCTTTATCTCCCATGGTCTTATCTCTGAAACCATGGTACAGAGAACTCATGGACACTGGGGGTGGTAGAAGCCACAGCTACTAACTCACAGGTATCTACTGCTCTCCCTTCCTTCCAACAGTATCTTATCAACAAGGGGTCCTGTCTGCCACCCTGCTCTACGAGATCCTGTTGGGCAAGGCCACCCTGTATGCTGTGCTGGTCAGTGCCCTCGTGCTGATGACCATGGTAAGGAGGGTGGGATGAGCAGGTGATGGGAGGGAGGGTGTGGGACACTGTAGATGGCATGTAAGTGGACCCCACAACTAGGCCCAGCCCTGATGTATCCTGTTATCTCAATGAGACAATGAACCACAAGCTGGGGAGAAAATGTAGGGATCATTATGGATGGTACCACTGAAGGATGGTGAGAACCAGCAACCCTCCTCAAAATCAGGACCCAGCATCTGTCCCCCGCCCCCCGCCCCCACTGCTCTACAGTCCCTGGGAACTTGATAATGTCCTCTCTTCTTTAGGTCAAGCAAAAGCGTTCCTGAAGCCAGATATGATAGTGCATCCTGAATCACTCTGCATCTTCATCCTGGATTCTCCTGTCCCTACTCGTCCATGTTCCTGAAGAGTTCTCCTTCCACCTCTCATTCCCTCCCTGTGTGGACATCTATCCTTCCTCACTGCTTCCCTACAGACTGAGCACCTGGCCCTGAATCAGAAACAGACTGAACCAATAAACATGGCATGCCAGGCCAGCTTCTGTCTCAGTGATGTCTTTGGGGTCCTGCACTTGGCTGACATCCCCTCTGACCTGAGGAAGCTCCTGTCCCCTCAGACATATGGAAAGACTAAGCCACTTCCTTTCTGACCTGTGCTGCTTCCTCCTGATCATCCTGATGGAGATCCCCCAAAGCCATGATCCATACCAGGCACTCCGGGTCCCCAGTGTGGTGTTAGCCTGAAGGACAATGTCTAGGCTCTAGAAAATCAGCAAGATAAGGATAGAAAGAGAGGATTGCAGCAAAACATAATATGCCTAGCATAGGACAGAGGCCAGGCAGACCTACGGGTTACAATACCTAGTCATTTCTCAATCCAGGTGTCATCTATTACACCTTTAGGTTTTATCTGTGTCTGTCCTTCACAACTCCAATTTACCTGGTTTCTGGACTTGGGTTTAAGATTTGTGCCACTTTGCATGTCTAGTTTGGGATCCTAGAGAAAGCATAGAATTGAGAAAACTGGAATGTGAAGCCTGGGGATGAGTGATCTCCAGGAGCAGAACATGCAAGGTCAGGCCCTGGGAGGATTGAGAAGAGAAGCAGAGCTAGTGGGGATGGGGTGGTGCATGTGAAGTAGCCCTTCCAACAGGTCCCTTTGCCTAATGGATGGAGACCAGACCACCCCAAGGCTAGAGTGTTGGGTGCACCTGAGTGGATGGAGACAATTGCCTTAGCAGTGTATGCTCTCTGTGCAGATTTGAGTTATTGTGGTAGAGCACTGTAGTGGGGGAGGAGAAGAATATGACCAGAGGAAAAAAAGGCACAAAATAATGAGAGAGGCCATGGTCATGTTAGTTGAGGCAAAGTACCAGGGGTGAGGAGCAGAATCTGAAATCAGAGAAAAGTAGGGCGTAGGAAAGATGAACGAGCCTCTTCCTCAGAGCCCTTTGTCTCCTCTGGGTCTTGGGGTAGATTCGCTCACACCCATGCCATTTAATCTCCACATTAACCAAGTACTGATCCCCACCCCAAGTATAGTACTGATGTCTCTACTTTATAAGTGTAGAAACTGTAGTTCACACTGAAAATTATTGTAAATGGTGAAACTGTGGCATGTTTTTCCCAAGACGGAGATTTTGAAAGCTTTTCCAAGTAGTGACCAGGATAATGTTCTGATAGGGTATGGTTCATGGTGTCACAGTGACACTGCAGTAGCCCCCAAGCAGGGGAACAGGACCCACAGAAATACACTGAGGATGCCTTAATCCCTTGCTGTGTTAATTTCCTAAGGCTGCTGAAAAAAAGTACACAACAAAGTGTCATCACAAAGTGCTGCTGGGTGGTCAGAAACAGTGGAAACTGATTCCCTTGCAATTCTGGGGGCTAGAAACCTAAAACTGAGGTGTCAGCAAGGTCATGCTCCCCAACAGTTCCAGGAAGGATTCTTTTTTGCTTCTCCCTGTCCTGAGGGCTCCTGGCTGCCTTGGCTTTATCAGCATCACTCCAGTCTCTGCCTCTTCACACACCATTTCCCCCTGTGACTCTACATTTAAATTTCCATTTCCTTTCCCTTATCAAAACACGAGTCATTGGATTTTTGTCTCACCAGAAATCCAGAACCATTTCATCAAAAATCTGAACAGATTATGGCTGCAAAGACCTAATTATAAACAAGGTCACATTCTGAGGTTCTTGGAGGGAATGAATTCTTAGGGGATACTATTGATACTATGGCATTGAGTGCTCAGGAACTGGAGGTGAGGGGTTGTATAGAGGCAGCTTGCATGGGCCAGGAAATGACAGATCTCATGGAAGGGTTGGCCTAGGGAGCTCATTTCATTCTGGTAACTTCCACCAGTCATAACTCTCTAGATGTCTTGAACTGTGGCCCAGCTTTTATGGGTTGTGACTTTTGTTGCTTGTCTTCTTGCTTTTTTTCTTTTTCATAATGGCTAAAAATGTCTAACAGCAAAGGAGATAGGCTTTAGACCCTACAGAAGCATTCACAAAGGGTTGTCTCTTACTCTACACCCGGGGGAGGTTGTAGGCATCTTCGGGTTATTCTTCCTGAGGGTAGAATGGGAAGATAAGCAGATGAGGGGACATCTAGATGCTTGGGAGAAAATGAGGTATTGCGTGGTGTCACAAAAAGCATACTGGGGCTGGGGTGTTGGAGGACAAAGATTTGAGTGAGCAGATCTGTGACAGGCTGAACAGCTGTAGGGCTAAACTAGGGTGGAGGTGGGGAGAAGGTAACCCATCATGGAAGAGAATGAGGTCGCAGGTTTGGTGACTGTCACTTTGCAGATGCAGAAAGTTGAGGCATTAGCAGGTGGGAGGAGTTCTTGGTTAGAAACCTAGAGTTTGTAGCAGGTTGACCATGAAGAATGGAAGAATTTCCCCTGGAAGATAAACATAAAGTACATTTCACCCTTCTATCCAGGGGACTCCATACAGATGGAGAGTTATAAACAACTCCATCTGGTCGACACCCACCCCCCTATGTAACCAAGGGAAATTTCTTCTCACTGAGTCTTTATAACCATTTCCTTGTCTCTTCTAAAGAACACAACTTCTACTCGAATACTAGGCCTAGAGAAGCTGATTTCTTCTGCCTCTGCCTCCTACTGTAGAATCTAAAGGGATCCCAGGTTCCCTCTCTATTCTTCCTTAGGATAGATTGGGCAAAGATAGGGCAGGAACAGGACAATCATATAATTTATTGTACACATGGTTATACCATTGAGAGTGAAGAGGCTTCTAACTAGACAGCTTGCTGGGACAAGAAGACTAAAGTAGGACTGTTACAGCAAAGCCGCCGGCATACTGGACCTCCAGGAAGGAATCCCCAAGGGAGCCCCTGGGTTCTGTTATTCACACAATGGAGAGCCTAGAGAGGTTCTTCGCTGACCTGGGCATGTCCACGTGTCCTAACATCAAGGCTGATCTAGGTCCCATGTCACTAGGGAACTTTGTGAGAAGAATGTAGGACAGAGACAGCAGCGAAGTCCACAAAGGACAACAGAGGAGTGACTACGCATTTGGATTGAAAAGACTCACAACAAATTCTATCTCTGGAAGAATTCCCAGGATCCATATGTTCTCACCATCCCACAGGGCACAGCTGAACTCTCCTTAGGTAGCCTCCCAAGAAAGAAATCGACTTGTCAACTTCACAGATTTATTTGGCAATTAGGAGGGGAAAGGGGCATCCGAATTGTCATTTAATGACGGAAACTTCCTGGACAGAGGAGAGATTCCAGTCACCCTCACTTGTATAGAGGAAGAACTCTCCTATCAACACCAGTAACCCTGGAGCTCTTCCTATTGCACCCTGCAGAGCTGAGCTAGTGAAATTAGAGAGTGCGTTGCTCCAGGTGCGGTTGAGCCCATGAAGAGGCAAAGGCTTTTGTTTCTATCTTAATAAAGCTATTGGGGACTAAGGTGGGAGAGAAGAAAGAAAAAGGAATTTAGACCTAGAGAAGTTGAGCTAAGGGCAAAGGATCCTAAAGTTCATCTTTCATTTCCTTCCCTGAGCTGCTTCCCCTTTGTTCTTCATTCATGTTTATGTGATACGCAACCCCAAAAGTCCTATATAGTGGGAGCTTCATGAGGTCATTGTAGTTAGGGATGGATGTGGAGGGGAGGACTAGTGCTTGAAGTCCTCTGCTGAAGCTGTGCCTAAAAAGAAAAATGCTCGCTTACCTAGGTACACATTCATGTAGAGAGTTAGGAGATCCAGGTGGGGACCAAGTGGGTGGCTAACAACGACAGGCCAGTTCTTGGCTTTGCCACTAAACTGTGCATGATGAATAACTTCTGCTCCCAAACTGACCTCTCAAACTTTAATCACCAGATCACTATTACCATGTCCATGGGAATCGACTTGTGGCATATAAGAAAATTCACATTGTAAAATGCCATGAAGCTTGGCCAATAATTTTGGTCACAAACTAGTCCCACTGCTTATGGCAGACTCTAGTTTCCACAGCAGTCATTTATAGGCTTTGGGACCCCATTATCTGATATTTTATTCACTCCATCAGGGGCCCAAACACCAAGAATTCCCTAGCCCAGTCAGGTGTCCTCTCCTCCTATCTGGAAGCTTTTCAACTTTTACTCTATGTGTTTGTGGATCTGGGTTCCTTAACACCTCCAATTTCTCTGTAGCTCCTTAAGATTCCCTGTGATGATACTTGGCCTTCCCCTCAAACATCTTCCTCCAACAGATAAGCTATGTTCTGCTCACCACTCTCCCTCTTTGAAGTCCCAGACACATGTGTCTCTCTTCAGTCTCTCTGCATATTCTTTACGTTTGTTGTAACTGGACATTCAAGAAGGATCCTGGGTGAGCTGAAGTCCCAGAGATGAGTAAATGGCTTCTCTGGGTTAGCAAAAAGGAGCTGAAAATGGGGACACAGCTGTGACTATTTCCAGAGAAATTTCATCAGTTTGCTCTGCAAATAATGTCAGCTCTCATCTCTGAGTGTGAGGGGTGGCTTGCTAGGGGGACCTGTCCAGGGTTTCCTAGAGGTCTAGTCCTCTACCACACATTTATCAGGCTCATTGCTGGTATAAGCAAACGTTTTGAAATAATGACCCGAGTTCTAGGCCATCCCGGCAGTTATAATTTCGCTTTCTTTATTCCACAGTGGTTTTGGATCTTCATTAGATCTTAGAAGCACAGACACTCTGGGTGGTAAGGAAACATAAAAACAGAATAGTGAATCCCAGCACCCTCCCCAGCTGTACCCCCAGACAGAGAGCTCTCCATCTGCCTGAATAGGACTGCTAATCGCTGGATAGCTCTATGGGGAATTTCATCTTGTTAAAATATCCATACATCCAGACATATCCATAAATCTCACTTCTCATTGGTCATAATTTTAATCCTACGAGAGCCCTGCATAAGACCACTTGAGTGTCTGGCTTCAGTCAAGAGTCCAAAAATCTACAAGAGATTAAAAAAATTAGAACTTGGTACAAGATCCCAATGATGAATGTAACTGTATTTTATTTATACCTA